GGAGACCTGTTCTCCTATATTATTTTCCCAGCCTTTGACTGACCTCTCTTTTTTTATAAATTTGTTGCATTCAAAGAATTCATAGAACTGAATCCAGCCACATGAGCTCTCCAGTAAGAAATTCTGTAGGTGCCTGGCCCCCTGTCCTCCCACTGTAGCCTCTCAGCCTCTCTTTCAACCTTGGCCCAGTGTTGGGAGTGGCAGGAAGAAAAAGCCCTCGTGGAGAAGGTTGATTGGAGGTTTTATTACTGTTTGTTGGTACAGACCTGTCGGGACCTGAAGGACCGTCAGCAGTTGCTAGCATACAGGAGTAAAGTGGATAAAGGATCTGCAGAGGAGGAGAAGATTGATGCCATTCTGAATAGCTCGGTGAGCAGCTACAGTTTACCCCTCCAAGCAGTCCCAGGAGATGGTCCCCAAAGTAGCATCGAGTATATATTCCCAAGGCCAAGATGGGGTCACTGTTAGCTGAGCATCATGGGTATAAGGGCCTCTGAGCCTGAGGGTCTGAAGCGCTACTTTGAAAGGCAGAAATTACTTCTGAGATGTGGGGTGATCCAGGGTTAATCTGGGGACCTTGGGCTGAGACTTCATGTAGTACCCTGATAATCGTTAAACACAGCAGGTAGGAGGTACTCATCCAGGGACTGCAGGACCAACTGCTACAGACACAGAATATCCACACAATAGTTTTCTGGGGCCAGGTATGACCTACTGGTTGGAAATAAGTGTCTAAAACAGCTTTTAGCTATTGGGGCAACACTCATCTCTCATAGCATGAAATCACTGAACTTTTTGTTAACATAGAGCTTAGCTCCCTGTTAGATATTTTGGAACCTACCCTGGGGTCATTTGAATCTCGGTCCTGAGGAAGACAGAGCCAGAATAAATGCCCTAAATCAGGCTTGTAAGATACAGAAGAGCTGTTTAATTCGTCTCTGAATAACAAACTCCCCCACATATTAGAAAGACATTTTTCAACTTCCCCCTCCATTTTTCTTATTCTTACTTTACGAGGCTGTTAGCCTTGTTTTATTGTATTCCCCTACCTCTCTGTAGGGGTCAGTGGAAACTGATCATTGTTTGTTCTCTCTACAGCAAATTCGATGGAAGAACTAAGTGGCATTAGCTACTCTGAAACCTGCCTCATTTCTTCCTTTCCTGCCTATTAAAGTAGAGAGTGCTCTTTGTTGGGAGAATAACAGTATCACATCGCTTTGGACCCATCATCATCAACAGGCAACGCCTGCTACTCTTAGGACAGAAACCAGCACCTGGGCACAGACAGCTTCAGACTGATCTTCTGTCCAAGAATCATCATCTATAAGGGCCAAGATCTAAAGCTTTGACTCATGAGAAAGATTCTCTCCACCTGGTGCTCAAGTGAAGGTGGGAATAATTTCTAGATTGGGCCCATATTGGGCAAGATCTCTCTTGGTCTGGGAAAAATGACTGCTCTAGCCTAGACTAAGAGGTCAGGGATCATAGGATGGCCACTCCATTCCTCTCAGCTAATTATGACCCTGGACTTGGTGCTGGACATTGGCAGTTCTGCTCTGAATGAAGTCAGAATAGAACCAAAATGGCTCTCTCCCAAGGGACCTCAGGAAAGGATGCCTGTGTAGCCAGGAGCTGTTGGAGGTGCCTGCACACCAGACTGCAGAGTCCTCCAGACAGATAGTGCCCAGACCTTGTGTTTCTTCAGCCAGTGTCGTCCTGCCACCCCAGTCTAGCCTCTGTCCGAGACTTGTTGTTCCTCTTTCACCTGCACACCACGATGGCCTTGTGTGGGAGATAAGGACATTCCCATTATCTTTTCCTCTATTTTTCCCACCCAAGACCCATAACCTTATATGGAGCTCAGATTCAGCAGTGCTGGAGAGATCTTCCTTTATGCACAAATCTCATTATTTCACTAGGAGCTTCCAGAGGGTTCACCAGGGCTAACCTCAGCAACATTTCAGACGGTTAAGATGGAGGTTTTAGTTTCATGCTTGGTTTTCAAGAGTGTATTCTGGAATGCTAGCCTCCTTGCCCTGTACCAATATCAGCCTCTCTTCTCTGTGACTGAACTGGGTCTCCTTGACATGCCTCAACCCCTAATAAAGCTGCTTCTTCCTTGATGCCTTTTCTTTTCCCTCCCAATTGTTTTGTGCAGAACAATGAAATAATTGCCCTGTCTCTTGGGACCATTACAAACCTGCCTCAGTGACTGCATTCAGTGGTCTGTCAACACACGTCAGGTCATAGAGTAATGGTGCTTATGGCAAAGTACAGCCATGTGGTTAACAGAGTACTGAGCCTGGAGACAAAAGACCTGGCCTCTTGTCCCAGCTCTGCTGCTGACAAGCTGTGTGATGTTGGGTGAATCCCTTTCTCTCTGGACTCACTATCTTAACCTGTCATTGGGGGGCATGTTTCTCTCAGAACTTGTGGAAGTCTCTGCGCCTGTGACTGTGTGGAGCAGGTGAAATGGTAGGAAGAAGAGGAGATGTATAGAAGCACACAGCACGCCTTAGGGCATGCAGTAGCATGGGAGAATTTGGGCCCCAGGAGACTGTCCAAATCTGGAGACGCTTTGTTGCCACAACTGTTGGATGCTACTTGAATCTAGTGGGTAGAAGCAAGGGATGCTGCCAAATATCCTACCATATAGGACAGCCCCCGCCAACAAAGAATGATCCTGCCCAGAATGTCAGTAATGCAAATGCTGAGAAACCCTGCTTTACAGGGATTAGACTCATCTCTTGCTCCTCCACTTTGCAGTCCCCTTTGCAACTCCAGGTAACCTCATAGCTCCTTCCCTAATCATCCTTCTTCCTGTTGAAGAAACAGGGTTTGCTACATTGTGCTAAAGTTATTTGCTGATAATAAACCGTGTTAACTTTATGAACTAATATCTCAGCATTCGTTTAGAGAAGCAGAATGTCCAGGAGTATATAGTCTTGTCTATATTACAGACTTTACTCAAGTATGGCCAATGGTTTAACAGGCTCTGGAAGGTTGTCTTCATGTCTGGTGGTAGAGCTGGGTGTCCATACAGCAGGCAGTGGGGAAGGGAAGATGGGTAAAATGTGAGCAAAGGCAAGGACAAGATGGAGGCCCATGAAGCTGGACAGGAACCCGTGTCAGCTCTCACTGCCTCCAACATTGAGGATGTGGGTGTCCTGCAGGCAAAGCTGGCTGGTAGCCTTTGTCACGGAACTGAACACAAACCTGGCCCAGGAGTGTGAGGCTATAGGAGGATCGAGGGGAAAGTAGTGATCATGGGTCCAGCTGCTGCCCCACACCCACACGGTACCCAGCAAAGTACCAGCCCAGACCTTGTAAGCAGCAACACAAACTGGCTGCTGCTTCACCCCTCCAGATCCTCACAAAAGTCTGTGGCACACCCTAACTGGAAACATTCAGGGAAAGGAATTCTGGGAAATGTAGTTCAGCCTTGCCAACTTGACATGTTACAAAGCCACAATGACTGGGTCCATATTTTTGAGGATGTATTAGTGAAGGATGGGCCTATAACCCACACCTGTACAGGTTAACTAGTGCTGAGTGGGGAGGTTTTGAGCTTCTCTTTCCTTAGGAACAATATACATCGCTTGCAACATTAGGATGACCTACTCACTTTTTTTTAAATTTTTAATGTTTTTTAATGTATTTTTGAGAGTCAGAAACAGCGCGAGCAGGGGAGGATTAGAGAGAGAGGGAGACAGAATCTGAAGACAGGCTCCAGGCTCTGAGCTAGCTGTCAGCACAGAGCCCGATGTGGGGCTTGAACCCACGAACTGTGAGATCATGACCTGAGCCGAAGTCGGACACTTATCCGACTGAGCCACCCAGGCACCCCGACCTACTCACTGTTTTGATCAAAGGAAGTATTATTTCTCGGACTTGACGAGAAATTCCATACATTTCACTTGAAGAGCTGAAATTGAGAGTGACATAGGAGCCTATGCAAAGGATTAGAGAAGCCAACCATGAAAGGTCACATACTGTATCCAAAGGTCACATGAAATATCCAAAAAAGGTAAATCCACAGACACAAAAAGCAGATTTGTGGTGCCAGGGACTGAGGATGGTGGCGAGCAAGTGGGGAGTAACTGCTTAATGGTTACAGCGTTTCCTTACATTCAGAGGACAAAACTGCAAATGTACTGAATTGTTCACTTCCAAATGGCTGTTATGTGAATTTCACCTCAATTTCTTTTAATTTAAAAAGTGGATTAGAGGGATGCCTGGCTGGCTCAGTCCACAAAGTGTTAAGACTCTTGATCATGAGTTGGGTATAGAGATTACTTTTTAAAAGGTGGATTAGAGATTTGAATAGTTTTGCTTGCTGGTCTCAGTTTTGCCACTGCTATAAAATAGAGTTCTGAATATCACTGATTCTTTCCCCAGCTCTTCTGAGGTATGATTGGCAAATAAAAATTGTATATATTCAAGGTGTACATCATGATGATTGATATATATTGTGAAATGATTACCACAGTCCAGTTAATTAACATATCTGTCATCTCATATAGTTAACCTTTTGTGTGTGTGTGTGTGTGTGTGGTGAGCACATTTAAGATCTACCCTTAGCAAATTTCAAGTATATAACCTAGTATAATTAACTATAGTCACTATGGTACACATTAGATCCCCAGAATTTACTTGTCTTATTCTTCAGTATTCTTCTTTGTATTCTTTTGAGTACAAAAAGAAGGGGTTTAAAAAATAACTCGTTGAGAAGTGCTGGATCTGTATGATTGATATTCCAGTCTGGGAAAAATCTAGAAGTCCAGAACCTTCTGCTAGGAAAAGGAGGCTCCCATACTGCCCTGGTATAGTGTTCCTAGAAATAGCAAAAAGAATTCTTGTCCTCATGAGGCAAGTCTGGAAAACTCTGGGTGGGGCTGGCCCCTTTAAGGCTCAGAGAGTGAAGTAATCTGGTAGCTAAGGAGTCATAATGAGACTTTCTTGGGTAATTCTCCCTAGAAATATAATTCTTACTCTCCAAGACCAGAAGTACCTAGGAGGAAAGCCACCTTCTCCTCAATTTGGTTGGTGAGAGATCTATGTAAACAGGCTTACACATCTCTGGCTTCATTTTCTAAAATCTAGATGTCCTTGACCTAGAGTGGAGATCATGTTAAATTTGGGCCCTTTCCTATCCTGTGAGGAACAGTGTTGAGTGAAAGGGAAAAATTCCTTTGAAGTGGGGTATACATGATCAGTCTTATTTCTAAAATCTTAGAGGGACTAGAACTAGGGAGAAGGCCCTGGACCACATGCATCTGTGAAACCCACTGCCAAAGTAAATGCATCTGCTGAAAAATGTGCCTATAGCCTATGTGGATGAACATCACTTTGGATTTTTGTTCAGGTTTTTCACGAATCCACGTATTCCTGATCCATGGGCAGTCTGAGCTTAAGAATCCTCCAGGACTCACACTGCAAGTACAGAATCTGGGAGGAGAGAGGTGCTGAAGCCTGCCATCACAAGAGGTTGTGACTGGGGCACACACCCTCCTGCATAGACTCCCCTGTCTTCTAAGAGAAGGAGCCAAACTGATTGGTATCTATCACTGCAGGAGATGGTGGCTTGGAAATGGACTTGCTAGAGGGCCTTGAGTCCCTGCGGTTTGAGTATGGGATTCGAGAGGAAGACCGCAGCTGGCTGTATTTGCACGGCCGTTCTCGAGGGCTGATGATCAAGGCCTGTGCCCATGCAACCTTCTTCTGCAAGCTACTCTATAATTTGAGGTAAGTTAGGTCTCCAAGTTCAGGCAGATGGAGAAGAATCCCACTGCAGAGAATCCAAATGACTTAAACTGTTTATATTGGAGGATAGCTTTGATAGAGGGAGTGTTTTCCTATATTTTCCAACCCACAGTCAATCACTCTGGGTCTGAAAGCACCAGGAAAGGCATACCAGAATCCCTTGGCTGTGGTTACATAACGAAGCAGGGCTGATGATTTCCTTTCAGTGGTTGGATTGATTAAATGATCAGTTCATTCATTCACCCATTCATGCACTCACTGAGACCACCAACTTGGCTTCTACAGCTACCAATAACTAGCTGTTCTCTCGCTATTGGTCAAAAATTTGGGGGCTAAGCTAATAGTGGAATTCTCCCTAACAGGAAAACCACCTGAAACTTTGGGAGTCCTTTTGGCCAGGTGACTTACATGAACACAGTATTCCAGGAATACACTCAGTCTAGTCCTGACCTCTCATGTCTTTGTACAATGTGGCTCCAGACACTTAAACAGGAAGCATGTGAAAGCAAGGTACTGAAGACCAGACTCCTGGATTCTATAACTCTAGGCTACTCCTGGAACATAGGTAGCTCCCCTGCCACCAGACTACTTTTCTTTGAAATTGAACGTGTTACAGATACAGCAGATACTCAAAGAGGCAGGCTGCTTAATGAGTTTGCTGAATGGCTGACTCATAAGAAAACATAAACTTTCTGGTTGCATTCCAGATGAGTGGTGAGAAATCAAAATATGAAACTTCCGGGAGGCATTTTATATTTGGGAGGATCAGGCACAGAGGAAATGCCTTCCTTTTAACCCAGAGGGAAACCTTAAATAGAACGTGGCTTGTGATGTTTATATGGAAACTCCAGAGCTTAAGAATTTTTACAGAAATATAGAACAAATTTAAGCTTGTATAACAACAGAAAACATTGCCTTATATATTCAAAGTTCAGATTTTGTTTGCCTTGGGCCAAGGAAACACATCCAGAACCAGTGAGTGAGTGTCTAGAAGGAGACACTTATATCCTTGATCCTCAGGTTCTTAGATCTATTTTCCCTTATACACCAATTACTTCTATAAATCACATGTTTGAAAAAAACTAAGTTATCTGAATGCCCAGATCTATGCAAAAGCGAAATAGCAAACTAGAAAGAGTAGGCATAGGGAGGGAAAAGGTATGCTTATCATGATGTCAATGAAAAAAGACAGCTGTCTGCACAGGAAACAGTGAAGGCACTGGCCCACAGTGTTCCAGGATGATGTATAAACAAGTGGCTATTCACAATGATAGTCCTGAGTCAAGTAGTTCAATATTCAGACCTTGTGTTTAAGAAGGCAGGGAAATGCACAATGCACGTAACAACAACAAAAAGAAACATGTTCACTTAAAAATGTTTTAAACAAGTTTTGGTCCCTTGAAGGGGTATGCTTTACTTTCTGGAAAATTCACTCAGGAGGAACATTTCATTCCCTAGCGATACTGGACAAGTGGCACGTGACTGGAATGCCTTATCTCTGGAGTACTAAAGGTGCCACCAGGCTGCCATGTGAGGAAGTTAAAGCAGAGAACACCAGAGGTTAAGAGCTACTGGGTGTGTGTGTATTTATTTATGTGTCTGTGTTTCATTCTCCAGAGAATCATTACGTAAGAAGCACACTTCCAGGTGTGTCTTGACTGGATTGCTTGATGACACTCCCGACGATAATGATGAGTTAAAGGTGGGCATCATTGGAGGTGGCCACCTTGGGAAGCAGCTGGCCCGTGCACTGCTTCAGCTTGTCCCCATCCCTGCTGAGAACCTGCGGATCTCCACTCGGAGGCCAGAGGCCCTGGGTGAGGAGCAGTGTGTGGTAGCTCTTTAGGTGTTGATGAGGCCATTTTGAAGAGGCTCTTTGAAGAAGGAATCCCTGCATGCAGCATACAGAGTTGTCTGCTTGCTAGCCCTGAGAAAAGCTAGAAAGACTCTGTGTGTGTGTGTGTGTGTGTGTGTGTGTTTTAAAGTTTTTGTTTTTAGGCAGAGAAGGACAAATACCATATGTTTGCACGTATAGGAGGATTAGGAGGAACTTGATGGAGTAACAAGGGGGAGAAGAAGGGGGGAAATGGTGGGGGAAAGGGAGAGAAGCAAACCATGAGAGACTTTTTTTTTTTAATATTTTTATTTATCTCTAGGAGAGAGAGAGAGCGTGAGCAGGGGAGGGTCAGAGAGAGAGGGAGATACAGACTCTGAAACAGGCTCCAGGCTCTGAGCTGGCAGTCAGCACAGAGCCCGACGCAGGGCTCGAACCCACGAACCGCGAGACCATGACCTAAGTGAAAGTCGGACGCTTAACCGACTAAGCCACCCAGGTGCCCTGAGAGACTCTTGAATGATGACAAAAACTGAGGACTGATGGATGTGGGGGGGAGGGGGGATGGGCATGGAGGAGGGCACTTGTGGGGATGAGCACTGAGTGTTATGTGGAAACTAATTTGACAATAAACTATTAGAAAAAAAATAAAGTTTTTGTTTTTAAGTAATTTCTATACCCAATGTGGGGCTTGAACCCATAATCCTGAGATCAAGAGTCTGAAGTTCCGCCAACTGACCCAGCCAGGGGCCAGTAGAAAGATGTGTGTGTGTGTGTGTGTGTTCTAAGTGGGTCAGAGTAGTACTATCTCTCTATTTATCTATCTATTTTATTATTATTTTTAATGAATATAATTTATTGTCAAATTGGCTTACATACAACACCCAGTGCTCTTCCCAACAAGTGCCCTTCTCAATGCCTGTCACTCATTTCCCCTCCCTCCCACCCCCCATCAACCCTCAGTTTGTTCTCTGTATTTAATAGCCTCATGTGGTTTGCCTCCCTCCCTATATGTTTGTATCTATTTTTTTTTCTCCTTCCCTTCCCCCATGGTCTTCTGTTCAGTTTCTCAAGACCCACATATGAATGAAAACATATGATACCTGTCCTCTATTATTTCCCTCAGCATAATACCTTCCAGTTCTATCCACACTGCTGCAAATGTCATGATTTCATTCTTTCTCATTGCCAAGTAGTATTCCATTGAATATATAAACCACATCTTCTTTATCCATTCAGCAGGTGATGGACACTTAGGCTCTTTCCATAATTTGGCTATTGTTGAAAGTGCTGTTATGAACATTGGGGTACACGTGCCCCTATGCATCAGCACTCCTGTATCCCTTGGGTAAATTCTTAGTATTACTATTGCTGGGTCATAGGGTAGCTCTAGTTTTAATATTTTGAGGAACCTCCACACTGTTTTCCAGAGCAGCTGCACTAGTTTGCATTCCCACCAACAGTGCAAAAGGGTTCCTGTTTCTCCACATCCTCACCAGCATCTGCTGTTTCCTGACTTGTTCAATTTAGCTACTCTGACTGGTGTGAGGTAGTATCTCAGTATGGCTTTCACTTGTATTTCCCTAATGATGAGTGACATTGAGCATCTCTTCATGTGTCTGTTGGCCATCTGGATGTCTTCTTTGGAGAAGTGTCTATTCATGTCTTCTTCCCATTCTTTAATGGATTATTTGTTTTTTGGGTGTTGAGTTTGGTAAGTTCTTTATAGACTTTGGATACTAGCCCTTTATCCGATATGTCATTTGCAAATATCTTTCCCCATTCCATCGGTTGCCTTTTAGTTTTGTTGATTGTTTCCTTTGCAGTGCAGAAGCTTTTTAGAAAGATGGTTTTTAACCTGTTCCTTAAAACAACTTTCTTCTCATGCTCCTGTTTCTCTTCATACAAATAAATCTTTTGCTTTTTACTGAAGAAAAAAAAAAGGAAAACTTTCTTTTCCCTGTAAATATTTTATATCCTCCTCCCTGTGCCCTTGGTGATAAAATAGCTTTCTTTTTTTTTTTTTAAGTTTTTTTTTTTTTAAGTTTTTTTTTATTTATTTCTAGAGAGAGAGAGTGTGAGCAGGGGAGGGTCAGAGAGAGAGGGAGTCACAGACTGAAACAGGCTCCAGGCTCTGAGCTGGCAGTCAGCACAGAGCCCGACGCGGGGCTCAAACCCACGAACCGTGAGATCATGACCTAAGCGAAAGTCGGACGCTTAACCGACTAAGCCACCCAGGCGCCCCATAATAGCTTTCTGAGTCTTTGATACAGAGAAGTTTTTCAAAGAGAGTTCACATCTCATTGGACCAGTTAGAGTCCAGTGGGTATTAACCAGTTCCAAACATTTGGCCTTGTTTTTTTAAAAATAACAATTACTAAATTAAAAAAATGTTTTATAATGATTTTACTTACTAGTCTATGATGATAGAAATCAGAAGAGTGGTTGCTTCTGGGAGGCTGACTGAGGAGAGGCCCAAAGGAACTTTCTGGGAAGATGAAAATGTTCTATATCTTGAGAAAGGTATGAATGAGTTACATGGGTGTATGCCTTTGTCAAAAATGATCAGACTAGATACTTCAGATCTGTGTGTACCCTGTATATAAGTTATACTTCAATAATAAAAGCATTAAATAATTTTACGTATATTATAGAAAATTTAAAATATTACTTTATAAGGAAATAAATAATAACTATCTATAATCCCCTTACCAGGGTTACCATTTCCTTCCTATATTTCTCTGATTATATCAGATTATATCCGTAATTGGTACTGTACAAAGTTGTTTGTATTCTGCATTTTTTTAAAAATTTTTATTGTTTATTTATTGTTGAGAGAGAGACACACAGATGTGAGCAGGGCAGGGGCAGAAAGAGAGGGAGACACAGAATCTGAAGCAGGCTCCAGGCTCTGAGCTGTCAGCACAGAGGCCATTGCGGGGCTTGAACTCACAAGCTGTGAGATCATGACCTGAGCCGAAGTCAGACGCTTAACCAACTGAGCCACTGATGCGCCCCTATAGTCTGTATTTTTCACTTAATGTATCATAAGCATATTCTCCTATTACTTAACATTCTTCAAAATAATGATTTTAAGTTATCTAGTATCCCAAAATATGGCTGTATGCTAATTTATGTAACTGTGTCTTATTTGGTTGGATTTCCTTGCATATAATTTAAAACATAAAATTACTAGGTCAGAGGGGCGCCTGGGTGGCTTAGTCGGTTAAGCGTCCGACTTTCGCTTAGGTCGTGATCTCGCGGTTCGTGGGTTCGAGCCCCGCGTCGGGCTCTGTGCTGACTGCCAGCGCAGAGACTGGAGCCTGTTTCAGAGTCTGTATCTCCCTCTCTCTCTGACCCTCCCTTGCTCACGCTGTCTCTCTCTATCTCCTAAAAATAAATAAAAATATTTAAAAAAAAATTACTAGGTCAGAGAATAAGTACATCTTTATTAAGATATAATTTGTTTATAATAAATTGCACATTTTCAAAGTATACAATTTGATGTTTTGACACATGTGTACACCTGTGAAATCATCAACACAAAGTAATGAACTTACCCATCACTCTCAAAACTTTTCTTGTAATTTCTCTATCTCGTTGCAACTCCCCATGAAGCCACTCATCTGAATTCTGTCACCATCAATTAGTTTGCATTTTCTAGATTTTAATATAAATGGAATCATACAGTTTGTACTTTTACATTCTGACTTCTTTCACGCTGCCTAATTATTTTGAGATATACTCACGTGTTTCACGTATTTATATTCTTTTTATTTCTGAGTAGTACTTCACGGCATGAGCATTCCATAGTTTATCTGTTCAGCTACTGGTGGTGGACATCCAGGTTGTTTCCTGGTTCTGGCTCTTATACAGAAGGCTACTCTGAACATTTGTGTACAGATATTAGTATGGATACGTGCTTCAACTTTTCATAGGTAAACACCAGGGAGTGGAATGGCTGGATCCTATGGTATGTTTTTCGATTTTTTTAAAGACAATTCTAATATAGTTTTTCAAATCGACTTCCAAAAAGGGATGTACACTTTCACCAGAATTGTGTAAGAACATCCATTTCACTATACTCTTGTCAGTTCTGGGAATCCTTTTTCTTTTTTTTATAATCATCATTTTAATATGCATTTAAATTTTTTCTTGTTTGGAGGTGCCTGGGTGGCTCAGTCAGTTAAGCATCCAACTTCAGCTCAGGTCACGATTTTGCAGTTCATGGGTTCAAGCCCTGTGTCGGGTTCTGTGCTGACAGTTCAGAGCCTGAAGCCTTTTTGGATCCTGTGTCTCCCTCTCTTTGTCTGCCCCTCCCCCGCTCATGCTCTGTCTCTCTGTCTCAAAAATAAACTATAAAATTAAAAAAAATTTTTTTCTTGTTTAGCATATTCTCCATTGATCACTAGAAGAACTGAATATTTTTTATAGGTTTATTGCTATTTCATCGTTTTTGAGTTCTTTTTGTTCAGCTTTTCTGCTGGAGTGCCTATATTTTTCTTATTAATTTGCAAGCATTCTTTCTGTATTAAAGAAACTTAAAAAAAAAATCTTAGCACCCAAGACAAATCTCTAAAATCTCATCAATAGGACTAGTATATATATTTCAATAAAGTAATACATTCTTTGGAAAGCACTATATTAATAATAAAATCACAGTTTTTAAAAGTTTTATTTTTGAGAGAGAAAGCATGAGCAGGGGAGGTGCAGAGGGAGGGAGAGAGAGAGAGAGAGAGGGAGAGACCCAAGCAGGCTCCACACTGCCAGAAGAGAGCCTGACACGGGGCTCAACCCCATGAACCATGAGATCATGTCCTGAGCCAAAATCAAGAGTCAGATGGTCAACTGACTGAGCCACCCAGGCACCCCTGAAATTGCAGTTTTAGAATATCACTGCATGTTGTGTAAGGAAGCAGGAATTCAACATGCTTAGCAGCTGATTCTGTACACTTTTGAGAACAAAACATGAAAGAAGAATGGCTGTGCATGTTTTCTTTTTTGTTTTAGAGAGAGAGAGCATGAGCAGGGGAAAGGCAGAGGGAGGAAGGGGGGAGGGAGGGAGAGACAGAGAGAGAGAGAGAGAATCTCAAGGACCACCCAGGCGCCCCCGTGCATATTTTTAAAATTTCCTCTTTGTCTTGTCCATCTTCCAGGTTTACAAGTGCCCAGATAACATCAGCATCACATGTATCATGTACTCTTGGTAGTTAAAAACTCACCTCTCCAATGTCTGTAATATTGTTTTCCAATAGCTCTTAAAACACACTACCTTATGTGAGTTTACATTTTTACTTTGAAATCCATGTCGAAAAAGTACAAATGATTAACTATCAGTGACTGCTATAATGAAAATACATGAGCTACCACATTTCTCTCAACATTCAAAACTGTCTTATTAACAGAAAGTTGCATATACTTTACTGAAATCACAAGTATATCTTTCCAGACTCCTCCTGGCCTCTGCCCAATACTCTTCCACTCTCTTATCTTTTCCCACCTGAGAGCTCAAGCCACTTAGCTGTGTAACCCTGAGTAAGCTGCATGAATTTCCTCACTTGTAACATAGGAATAATACCAGTCTCTGCCTCAGAAGGTCCCTGTGAGGATTCCCTTAGATGATGTATGCAGAGTACTTTGTACACTATCGGCACATGGTAAGCCTTCAGTAAATTAGAGCAAGAAGACTTCTAGAAAACAAACCAACCAACCTGAAAAATTTTAGCCTTTGGTCTAAAAGCAATCTCAACCACATCTGTGTGGTGCTAGCTGCTTTGATATTGCAGTTAGGACATTGCCTGTGTCTTCTAGAAGATGTGAGGAGGGGATTTCTTTGATTTATGTGTCGATAGGACTTGAGATGAAGTAATTGTCATCCTCTCCCCATCGTTGATGTTTAGGTCAAACTCATTTGTACTGTGATCTTTCTTTCTCCCTTTCTCCCTCCTAGATGAGTTCCAGAAACTGGGAATCCAGTGCTTTTACCGTAACCATTGTCTGGCGAGCTGGGCCAATGTGATATTCCTCTGCTGCCTGCCATCTCAGCTGCCTAATATCTGCCTAGAAATTCAAAGGCACCTGCAAAAAGGTTGCATTGTGTACAGCTTTGCAGCAGCTGTCCCAATAGCCAGGTATCCTGTTAGGAGAGCACGGAACTGGGGGGCAGAACCCCATCCCCTCACATCTGGCTTCTCCCCCTCTCCCCCAGCCCTCTGCCTCATGGAGTTGGTCATTCCCAGTAAGAAGGTGGAAGCAGCTTTGTCCGCATTACACAGCCAGCCTTTCTAATTGTGTCTTCCCCACTTCTCCACAAACAGCGCTTGTGGGTGGAACATTTTCTTTGATGTGCAAATGTTTAGAACTGCAATGGCCCACTGCTTCCCACTACTTGAGGCCCACTGTGTTCTCCTTGTGCATTAATGGGAAGGGAACCACCAGTCACCAACGTGAAAAATGATTCACAGCATGTGTCAAATAATATTTTTGTGCCCCTATTGTCCAGCCTGGGGCCTGACACGAGACAACATTTACTCAGTGTTAGGGAGCCGGCTGAAAGTCCAGCTAATGAGTGGTGGCCTCAGTGCTGCCTCCACCCATGTTTGCCTCTGAGCGGTGCCTGCCATGCAGGGTAGGATGTTGGGGTTGGATTTGATCCAACACAGTGGATCCTGTGGTGGTTTATGATAGTCCTGGCTTTGCACTCCGTGTCTTGGGGGATTTCCTTTCAGGTTGAAACTCCTGCTGAACAACACCAATATCTTGCGGCCTCAGTATCACTGTGTTGAAGATTTTGTCAACATCTGGGGGGCCAATAAGGAGATCATAGCTGCCCTCCAAGATCCTGCGATTCTTCAGGCTACCTGCCCCTACAGTCCTGCTGGTAAAGGCTTGCCATGTTTTTGGCACTCTTTTGAAAGTGCCTCTCAGCCTAGTGCTACTTTATAATCCATGTGTGTGTGTGTGTGTGTCTTGGATATGTGTGTAGGGGGAGTATAAACTGGACACATTCCCACCTGCTTAGTTTTGAATGGGAACAACTTTGGTGGCAAAAAGCAGCCTCCACTAAGGAAAGCAGACAAGTCTGAGTGTTTGGACCTGTGAAGGCTGAACCAGAAACAGCCAGAGGGGAGAGCCTATTTAAAACAGAAGGGTCTGCTGTCTGGCACTAAATGGCATTTCCCTGCTCTAGTCTGGCATTTTTCCTCTGTTTCTTTTCCTTATTGGAAAGATCATTCTAGAGATTTCTAGAGATGCTTTTGCCACTATCAGTGTCTTCATTAGTCACACCTGTCCTCCTGTGGTGGGGTTAACATGTGATTTGTTATAAAGGGCACAATCATGGCTCTTTGCCCAGAAAGAGGAGTGTTTGCTTATCTTGAGGTTCATATGAACAGCCTGTCTTGGAAAAAAGGTGGCTGTTCATTTTCTGGGGTTTGTTGTTTGTTCCAGGAAAACCCTTTTGGTGGTGCTGATATTTCCCTTCTCATTGATGTGTAGGGGGAATAATCCTCAATATCAAGTGGTTGGAGGGAGTGTTCTACGCCATCCTAAATTTCTGCACCACAATGGACATGCCCCACTTCCAAGTGCTGCAGCATCTGAATGAACTGTTCCTCTCTGTGCACCTTGAAGACTGTGAGAAGGATGGAGCATCTTGCCCCAAATTTCAACTAGGTGATTTTGTCAATGAAATCTATACCAAGATCCTACCTCAGGAAAGGTAAGGCATCAGACAGTAGGCTATTCTAATTTCTCCCACACATCTTAGCAGATGCTTTTTCTTTTTTTCCTTTCATGTGATCTTTGCAATTTTATAGAAATAATACATTCTTGTAAAAAATCCGACTGGTGGAAAAGTGAAAGCTCTCCTTTATTTCTCAAATACCATTTCATAGACTTCACATCCAATGGTTTTTATATTTTTGTCTTTTAATCTATGTATTTACAAACATATTTATATTATCATGGTATTATAATGTGTATACATACCTATGTCTATACATTTTTGAAACATGGGGACTATATATGCTGATTTTTCATTTGCTATGTTGTGGATGCATTCTATGTCAGTACAATCATATCTACTGCATTTATAAGCAATGCATAGGGATCCACTGGATATATTATTTCATTACGTTTATTCATCTTACTTATTCTTGATAATGTAGTTTTCCCCTGCCCCAAATTCTAATAAGGGCTGCAACTGAAAATTTTTATATGTATTTTGCACTCTTATACCAATATTTCTGATTGATGACTATCTAGAAGAATATTCTGAAAGAATATTTCTGGGCTAGAGGGTATATATATTTTATGTTTGATAGGTATTCCCAAATTGCTTATCAAAAACGTGGTGCTTAGAGGCATCTGGGTGGCTCAGTTGGCTAAGTGTCTTGACTCAGGTCATGATCTCAAGGTTCATGGGATCCAGCCCCACATTGGGCTCTGCACTGACAGCATGGAGCCTGCTTAGGAGTCTTTCTCTCCCTCTCTCTCTGCCCCTCCCGTCTGTGCACTTGAGTGCTTGCTCACTCTCTCCCTGTCTCTCTCTCTAAATAAACTTTAAAAAATTCTTTTAAAAAAACATGGTGCTTATTTACATCACCACCAGTGTGTATGCATGTGCCATTTCTCTATAGCTTGCTAACTATAAGATCAATCTTTTTAACCTTTGATAATCTAATAGGGAAAACTGTTACCCTTGTTACCAGTGACTTCCATGCCACTAAATTCACTGGGCAATTTTTAATCCTTGTCTTGACTATTGAACCTTGAACTCTTGAGTCCTTCTTGAAGCAATCTCTTCTCTTGGCTTTCATTATACCCTTAGATTCTCCTCATTTTCTTCCTGTCTAGCCTCTCCTTTCCAGCTCATCTCCCTCATCCTTATGTCTAGGAGTTTTCAGGGCTCTGTGCTAGGCCTTCTTTTCTTGCCATTCTATACTTTGTTCATGGGTGAACTTTTCCAGTTTAGAGACTTAGGTTGCCATCTTTATACTGACAGCAAATGACTCTGTATCTCTAGCCTAGATGTCAACCGTATACCCAAGTTGTTTGTAGTCACCATCTCCCATCAAACTCAACGTGTCCAGAAGCATACCTGCTCTCATTCCTGCTCTGATGGTGTTTCTTACCTAATTTCATGCTCTTTTGCCAAGTTTTTTAAGCCAGAAGCCTGGAAGTAATTCCTGATGGTCTCCCATCTCTTGCACTCTAATTGATCACCAAAGGCCTATGAAGCATTTTTAGTTTGGGGATTTCCCTTCGCCCTTGGCCTGGAATTCCTTTTCCTCTCTTATGTTGGATCTCTTTTTCCTGGATCCCTCTTCCTCTGGTATGGTTTACTCTTTCATAGGGGTGGGTCATATCTTCTTTCAGTAACTTCTTTAGAAAACAATGTAATTTATAGAGACTGTGTCTGAAACTGTTTTTATTCTAACCTAATCTTTATTGAGTACATAGCCAGGTATCAAATTCTAAGTTAGAAATAATTTTCCCTCAGAGTTTTTTTTTTTTTAATATTTTTATTTATTTCTAGGAGAGAGAGAGAGAGACAGCATGAGCAGGGGAGGGTCAGAGAGAGAGGGAGATACAGACTCTGAAACAGGCTCCAGGCTCTGAGCTGGCAGTCAGCACAGAGCCCGACGCGGGGCTCGAACCCACGAACCACGAGATCATGACCTAAGCGAAAGTCGGATGCTTAACCGACTAAGCCACCCAGGCGCCCCTCCCTCAGAGTTTTAAAGGCATCGCTTCATTGTCTTACAGAGTTGCTGTTTTTTTAAAAACCTTTAAATGTTTTTATCCCTTTTTTGAAAGAGAGAGGGAGAAAGAGTGTGCATGGTAGAGAAGCAGAGAGAGAGAGGGAGACAGAATCTGAAGCAGGTTCCAGGCTCTGAATTGTCAGTACAGAACCTGACAAGGGGCTCAATCCCATGAACCAAGAGATCATGACCTGAGCTAAAGTTGGATGCTTAACCAACAGAGCCACCCAGGCTCCCCAGACAGAGTTGCTGTTGAGAAATACAATGCCATTCTAATTCTTGAATTCATCCTTTTTTGAAATCTATTTCTTTTCTCTCTGGAAGCTTATAGTATCCTGAAATTTTTGACCTCAGTATCCTGAAATTTTATGATGTGTGATGAATTTGGGTCTATTTTATTTTATTTTTGATGTAGGTCTATTTTAACTCACTGTGTTGGGCACATGGTGAGCCTTTCCCTCCCCCCCCTTAATTTAAAAAATTTTGTGAATTATAACACTTATGTAGAAAAGTGCATAGTCCATAAATTCATAAATAATGCAGTTTAATGAACTATTGTAAAGGAAATACCCATGTAACTGATATCCATAAAAAGAACATTCAGCAGTCCTTTTTAATCTGAACGCCCAATTGTCTCCTTTTCTCCAGTTATATATTTCATAATTTCCTCCCCTTGCCTGTTTTCTGTCTTCTCTTAAGTCCAATGTTTGACCTCCTGGACTGAAACTCTGATTTTCTTTATCTTTCCTACTTTTTTACTTAAAATTCTTTCAAATTTTATTTTAGAAAGACAGGGGAGAGAGACAGAAGGGGAGAATCTCAAGCAGGCTCCATGCTCAGCGTGGAGCCTAACATGGGGCTCAATCCTACAACCCCAAGATCATGACCTGAACTGAAATCAGGAGTCAAACCCTTGACTGAGCCACCCAGGCACCCCTATCTTTCCTATTTTTAAAATCTTTGTCTATTTCTGTTTTCTGAGATATTTCAACTATACTGTTTTTGCTATCATATGTTGAGCATATTTTAATTTTTGCTATATTTTGAATATTTTCAAATTCTTTATGTCTCCAAATACTCATTTTTTTATGTAGCATCCTGTTGTCATTTCACTATGCAATACCATCTCTTATCCCTTTGAGAATGTAAATGAATTTTTTTCTTCTGTGAGGAGTCTCTACTGATCATTTGTTTTGGTTTCTATCATTGATTTAAGAAGCTTTATTCAAGTATGTATATGGAGAATTTGCTCATATTTAAGGTCTTGGTTACTAAAAAGTTGATTGGAAACTCTGTTTGCTACTGTGGTCGTTACTACAGAGTGATTTGATCAGCTATTTGCTTGGGAAACTGAATATTAGTTTAAGTGTTTGGGACCCAACTGGGGAAAGAAAGCTATGTATGAGTGTGAGAAGAGGGGTCATCTTATTGCTTAGATTTCTTTACTTTATATCCCCTCTATTCAGCAAATCCTTGTCCAAAACAGTGCCTATTTTCTCCATGTCCAGAAACCCCCTATTTTTTTTTGTCTTAATTTACTTAAGTAATCTCCACACCCAATGTGGGTCTCAAACTCATGAACCCTGAGATCAAGAATTGCATGCTCTACCAACTGAGACAGCCAGGTACCCCCCGAGACCCTCTATTTACCTCTTCTAGAGAATAAATCTTTTGATGGGGAGGAGGAGGGACAGTCTCCTGAGTGTGCAGCATTGGGTACTGTGCTGTGAGGGTCTCTTAATCTTAAGATTTTCAGTCCATCATCATACTTTTAGTACCATCTCACCTCTGCTTCATGATGTACTGGGTCTCACTACTTCTTGAGTCGTTTGTGGGTTCTATCATATAAATGGACTGTGCTTTGGTTTTCCTTGTTGCTCACTTCAGGTTCAGCTCCGTGTTATTATTCGTCCATATTTTTTCCAGCTTCTAACTTGTTGCTCTTTTGTTCTGTCTCATTCTCACTAGATATTCTTTGCCTATTCATTTTTGTTTTGCTGGCTTTTATTTATTGTTTCAGAGAAGGTTTTCAGCAGGAATATATTATGTATATTGGACATAATTTCCATATTTTCCTTTCTTTTTGGTAACTTTTGCTGTCCAGAGATTCTAATTGTTGTAGTCAAAATTGTCAAATCACTTCTTTATGACTTCAGGGTTTTAAATCATACTCATAAAGACCATCTTCATCCTAGGATATTCTGTATCTTCCTCTAGTATTTTAATTTTTTAATATTTAAATCTTTAAGCAGTTTTGGATTTTTAGTATCTTCTATTCATTTTGGAAAGCAAACTGTCCTACATTATTTGTAAAGTAGCCATTCCTTTTCCTACCAATTTGAAATATGATTTTTATTATTTGCTAAACTGCAAGATATTTATGGATATATTTCCGGACTGTATTCTGAACTGGGGATGATATTCTATTCCCATGCTATGATTTTTTTTTTTTGGTCATCAACTTAATTTTTATTTATTTTTAATTTACATCTAAATTAGTTAGCATATAGTGCAATAATGATTTTAGGAATAGAATCCAGTGATTTGGTCCTACATATAATACCCAGTGGTCATCCCAACAAGTGTCCTCCTTAATGCCCCTTGCCCATTTAGTCCATCTGCCACCAACCCCCCTCTAGCAACCCACAGTTTGTTCTCTATATTTAAGAGTCTTTTGTGTTTTGCCCCCTCCCTGTTTTTATATTACTTTTGCTTCCCTTCCCTGATGTTCATCTATTTGGTATCTTAAATTCCAAGTATGAGTGAAGTCATATATTTGTCTTTCTTTAATTTCACTTAGCATAATACCCTCTAGTTCCATCCACGTTGTTGCAAATGGCAGGATTCCATTCTTTTTGATTGCTGAGTAATATTCTGGTGTGTGTGTGTACATACATATACACATATATATACACACATACATACACACACACCACATCTTCTTTCCATTCATCAGTTGATGGACATCTGGGCTCTTTCCATACTTTGGCTATTGTCAGTAGTGCTGCTATAAACATTGGGATGCATGTGCCTCTTTGAAACAGCACACCTATATCCTTTGAATAAATACCTAGTAGTGCAATTACTGGGTCACAGGGTACTTCTATTTTTAATTTTTTGAGGAACCACCACACTGTTTTCCAGAGGGGCTACACCCAGTTTGCATTCCCACAAGCGGTGCAACATCTGTTGTTGCCTGAGTTGTTAATGTTAGCCATTCTGACAGGTGTGAGGTGGTATCTCGTTGTGGCTTTAATTTGTATTTCCCTGATGATGAGTGATGTTGAGCATTTTATGTGTTATCCATCTGGATGTTGTCTTTGGAAAAGTGCCTATTCATATCTTTTGCCCATTTCTTCACTGGATTATTTACTTTTTGGGTGTTGAGTTTGTTAAGTTCTTTATAGATTTTGGATAGTAACCCTTAATCTGATATTTCATTTCCAAATATCTTCTTCCATTCTGTCAGCTGCCTTTTAGTTTTGCTGATTGTTTCCTTCACTGTGCCAAAGCTCCCATTTATGATTAACTACTGTATGTTTTTCTATATTTTGGTATCTGGTAGAACAAGTCCTCTTCACTATTTTCTAAAGTTTTTTTTAATGTTTATTTATTTTGAGAGAGAGAGAGAGAGAGAGAGCGTGTGAACAAGTGAGGGGCAGAGAGAGAGGGAAACACAGACTCTGAAGCGGGGTCCAAGCTCTGAGCTATCAGCACAGAGCCCGACATGGGGCTCAAGCTCACGAATCGTGAGATCATGACCTGAGCCAAAGTTGGATGCTCAAGTGACTGAGCCATCCACGTGCCCCTAATATTTTCCAAAATCTTATTCCTTCTTATACATTTATTCTTCATGTGAATTTTTAAAAAATGACTTTAAAAATTAGCAAAGTAATAAGTGTTTGTAGTAAATAGGATATCAACTAAAATGTACCAAACAGTGAAAGTATTTCCCTTAAATCCCATTTTCTAGAGGTAACTACTATCAATATTTGCTGTGACAAAATAACTTGAAAATAGGCTATGTTTTTAATGTTAAGTTACTGAGTAAGATGTTTGCTCTTGGCTTTTGGCCCTATTTATAAAGTTGAAAAGTTCCTTCTTAAATGAAGAAGGAGTGTAGAATATCATCATTTTGTAAGCTCTAATGAAATAATGAATATAAGCAACATTAGGTGAAAAATTGATGGGGTAACTTTATAATGAATAGATCAGACGGAATCCATTCATCAGTCTTAACACTGCAGAAAGAGAGACAATGTGTTTCTGGATGAAAACAGACACAGATGAAATACTCTCATAAAAAAACCCTAGGGGCACCTGGGTGGCTCAGTTGGTTAAGCGTCCGACTTTGGCTCATGTCATGATCTTATGGTTTGTGGGTTCGAGCCTCACGTCGGGCTCTGTGCTGACAGCTAGCTCAGAGTCTGGAGCCTGCTTTGGATTCTGTGTCTCCCTCTCTCTGACCCTCCTGTGCTCATGCTGTGTCTCTCTCTCGCTCTCTCTCTCTCAGAAATAAATAAAAAACATTTAAAAAATTAAAAAAACAGAATTTGATTAAATCTATAGATATAAATTCAAGAGACAGGAAAGTGTTAAATGACCATGAGATATAACCAGCAAAATCCAGAATATGGGAAACTTTAGAGGATAAACAACCTAATTTCTTCAACAAATAAACTGCAAGGAAAGAAAAAGAGGAAGGGGAACTTATAGATTTAAAAAAACCCTTAAAAGTCCCTATATATGTGTTGATCTATACCTTAAGAGGTTGAAAGGATATCTTTTTTTTAATGCTTTTTATTAATTTTTGATAGAGATAGAGCGCCAGCAGGGGAGGGACAGATACAGAGGGAGACACAGAATCTGAGGCAGGCTCCAGGCTCTGATCTGTCAGCATGGAGTCCAATGTGGGGCTGGAACCCATGAACCATGAGATCATGACCTGTGCTGAAGTCAGACACTTAACCGACTGTGCCACCCAGGTACTCCATTTGTTGAAGAGGATATCTTTAAAAAAATTTTTTTAATGTTTATTTAATTTTGAGAGAGAGAAAGAAAGACAGAGACAGAGAGACAGAGACAGAATGGAGGAAGGGCAGAGAGAGGGAGACACAGAATCCAAAGCAGGCTCCAGACTCTGAGCCAAAGGCAGACACTTAACCAACTGAGCCACCCAGGTGCCCCTGTTGAAGAGGATATCTTAAAAGAAATGATATCTTTTCTATTCCCAATGTCTATGATCTTTCTCACATATTTTATTTCTAAATTCAAATTGGGGTGCCTGGGTGGCTCAGTGAGTTAAGCATCCGACTTTGGCTCAGGTCATGATGTCACAGTCTGTGGGTTCAGGCCCCGTGTTGGGCTCTGTGCTGACAGCTTGGAGCCTGGATCCTGCTTTGGATTCTGTGTCTCTCTCTCTGCTCTCCCCTGCTCACGTGCTCTCTCTCTCAAAAATAAATAAACATTAAAAAAAATAAATTCAAGGGAAATATACTGAAAAGAATCTCAATGTCATTATTATAATCATTCTTTAATTATAAATTCCTGCACAAACACACTTGAAAAAATGTACATCAGTACAAAAATCATAGGTACTATTAAATCCACACAGTGAACAGTTCTAGCTGAATGTTTAATTATGAATTTTAATTAGTTTGATATCAAAAATAAAGTACCTATTTCCTGTTATGTTTAATAGCCAAATCAGATGTACTGAACAGACATTAAAAAGTAACAGTATTTTTTTTCACCCTAGGCCTTTCCCCTGGTTTGATCTGACTGTTGTGCAACTCAAGGAAACTCCCTTTAGTCAAAAACTCTCAACCAGTACGGGTCTCCAGGACCACCTTACCCGTCTTTACTGTGATTCATTCGGCATCTCCCTAAGCAAGGAACAGCAGCCAGGGGTCTCCACAGGTTCGTCCTCCCGTTAAGAGAAGAGACCTCAGGAATCTACAACTGCTGTACCTTGATTATCACAATTCACAGTAGAATCGTGTGACTGCATCGTGTTTGCCACATGTTGGGCATTAAGGAATTAGAAAATTGTACTGATGTTCTTTAAAATATAGAATAAAACAAGAAGTCTTTCACGTCAGTATATTTGGGTATGTCTGGCTTTTGGAAGCAACCAAAGGAAACTGTATAACCTGAGACACTTAAGTAAGCTGCTTCCCTATGAAAGCCATGCTAATATAAATTCTCTCTCTTCTAACAGCTAAATTCCAGAATTTATAATGTCATTATTAGTATATATTTCAGCTTGTTCTCCTGTAGCAGTGAATAGCTGATAAACGATACAGCTTGATTTTCCTACCATTTTGGATAAAGAAGTAAAATGTGTGGTAAACAATCTTAATTGAATTACGACTCATATCATGCTTATTTCAGCTATATATGACTGTTCTGGAATTATCTTATTTAAAGCTGTTCCCATTTAAACCATTTTAAACCACAAAACCATTTTTATAAATAGCTGGCATTTGTATTACATGGTTAAAAATAATTTTGCAAAATATAGATCTTATTCCTACACTGCAAAGTTACTGCCTTTACATTTTGCAGTATTTTATGTCAGCTATAATAGAGTAGAAAACAACAGCAGTGACCATCAGGTTGAGAAAGGAGGACACTGACTATACTCTGTCATTGAACAGAACAATGGTTTGCTAAATGCTAAAGTGCTTTTAAACAAAACATGTAATGTTTACATTATACATGTAAACCACCATTGTGTTAGATTAATCATTTACATTTTTCTCTTTTGCATAATTGTGAGCCAGGCAAACCCAATGGTATGATGTAGAATGGTTTGAGATAAAATTTCATTGGTCCAATTTGAGAAGAAAGTACGTTCATCATCAAATATTAACATATGGTATGAATGCTAATTTGATTTTTTTCAAGTAGAGAAAAAATGGATTCCTTTGACTGTCCATTCAGGCGTAGGGAACTGGACAGGGTACATCATTGCTCTTTGGATTATGGTAACCATTTAGTGGCTTTTAGCATTAAGAAGTGAGGCTGGGAAGAGAAAGAACAGTTAAGCCTGTAAAACTAGAGAGGAACTGGAGCCATCCAAGCAACAAGAACTATTTTGTCTTTTTTTTTTTGAGCAGTCCAGTCACGGTAGACTCTGGCCTGAATTCATTCATTTGTTCATCATTTAATTTCTTTCTTTCTCTCTCTTTCTTTCCTTTCTTTCTCTCCTTTCTTCTTTCTTCCTCTTTTTTTCCTTTCTTTTCCTCCCTCCCTCCCTCCTTCCTTCCTTCCTTCCTGTAAACCCTATCCCCAAAGTGAGGCTCAAATTCATAACCCTGAGATCAAGAGTTGCATTCTCTACTGACTGAGCCAGCTGGGCGCCTCCTGAATTTTATTTTATAAAGGTCTGGAAGGTACCACATAAAAAAGCCTGGTAAACAAACTCCAGTTCCTTTCCATATTCCAGTGGTACTCCTATAAGCCTTGTTGTTTGTAAGGATAAACAGAAATTTTTAAAAATATTGAAAAATTTTTTTTCTCTAATGCAAAAAAGGAAAAGAACTCCCTTCCTCCCTTTCCTTACAACTTTCCTTTAGAAAACATGTAATTTAACTCCTTTTTTTCTATTTGACATGTAATGTAAATCCTCTAAAAAGTTGAGTAAGTCACCTACCAGTTTTATATCCCAGGACTGTCTGGGGGGATTTGGAGCCAGCTCTTTGATATGTGAGCACAGAGGAGAATGGCACTTTATGTCTCGGGCCTAAGTGCCCAGCTCCAAGTAGTAACTTCGTGCTTGTCATAAAGATATGAGAAGTTTTATTTTTTCTTTGGATACAGTCAGTTAACATGTAAGTAATGGATTCTATCTGTCTGGCTATATGTAAGGGTGAGATCTCCCTGACTTGGTTGCAGTTTTCTTTAGTAGCTTGCCTGTGATGTACATCACTGACTGATTTAATGGTGATTCAATAATACAACTGATTCTTTTTCTGCAATTGTGGAGAAAACTATTTAGATTGGCAGGAGATTTTACTTTCGATTCCTTTTCTCTAACATGTTTCTATACCAGGATGCATTACTAAAATTTATCAGGAATCCTTATAATCCTTATAATTACCCAGAAGGAGAAATATTGCTATCTTTGTTTAAACGAGGAGTTAGGAGTGCCTGGGTGGCTTAGTTGGTTAAACAACCGACTTTGGCTCAGGTCACCATCTCACAGTTCGTGAGTTCAAGCCCTGCGTCGGGCTCTGTGCTGACAGCTCAGAGCCTGGAGCCTGCTTCTGATTCTGTGTCTCCCTCTCTTTCTGACCCTCCCCCGCTCATTCTCTGTTTCTGTCTCAATAATAAACTTAAAAAAATTTTTCTTTAATTTAAAAAATAAACGCGGAGCTAAACTGAAACCCAAATAAAAGAAAGGTGCTGAGAGGTGCTGACAGAACTATGGATGGAACCAGGAGTTCTAACTGATCCTTAATGAAGAAGAGAAAATGAGAACCCAGTTATTCCCCCAAAGAGTTTAGTTTGATCTTTCAGGTAAGTGAAATGGCTCTTCCCTAAGGTTCAGTGTAATATGATGCTTCATTCTTTTTAAGGGCAGTTACTTTTGAGCATAATCCTGTAATCCTGCTGCTTGCACAAATTCAGATAAGGTCAAGGAATCAGATTTTACCCCAGTATGACCTTTTTGCTCTAAAAATAAGCCTATATTGTCCCTATAGGGAAGGGCGATGGTGCGTCTGAATAATGGCTCTTCAATTCCCAGTAGCTCCCGTGTATGCCGAGAAATTACCTAAAATACAAAATAATTTCTTAATGGGGCTAACTGAAAATATAAATTAAAGAAGCTTTATTTATTTTCCTAGGCCTCTTGAGTGCTAACCTCAAGTTATTTCTAAGGGAAAATAAAACAATGAAATAACACATGGAACTGCTTACTAGACTGGTCTTATCAAAATAAAGTCCTTATGAGAAACATCAAGTGATTTATTATCTTTTTATAAGTTTCATTTGAAGGTGTTTCTAGGCTCTTGGCAACAGCTTGCCACGGATGCGTTCATTTCTTTCTTTCAGCTGGGCAATCTGATCAGCCATAGGAGCAGATAATATGTTCAGATTAAGAGCCAAGACGATCTCTGGGAAAGTTCATAAATAACTCACCTATGAGGAGCTCAGTTAATTTGCAACTAAGAAAAATCATAACTCAAATAGTTATTTAATTTGACTAAAAACACCTCAAACACTAAAAAGCAGACATTAAAGTTCTAGCTGTTTTACTAGAATTAGAGATCTGAATTACTATAGGCGGCCCTTAAGTATTCTCATTTGTAATTGGTGCTGCCACACTGAGCACCTCGTCTGGTCAGCACCTCACCCTGAATGCCCCTGACCAGGGCTGGTTCTTTCACAAATTCACTGAGATTAACAGATGGTGATCCTAGGAGGGACCCTGTAGTCATAGTCAGATTTACTCACTACTAACCAAAAGAGCTATGTGCCTACTGCAGGCTGAGAGAGCCCAATGCCATTTAATATTCTAATGCAGAAATTAAAAGTGTTACAAAGCTACTGTTTACATGTGGGATCGGGAAATACAATCTAACCATCTCACATTGCATTCAAGTATGTCTGAAGTTCATCAATGGACCAAGAGGGACCTTTGATGGGCTATAAATTAATATAAAACTGTGAGTTCTTTCTTTAGTTCTGATAAAATATTAAGCAGCAGATTTTATTTCTGCCCAAGACTTAGAGCAACTTACTAGTAACTTACTTGAATTAGTAAGGATTATTAAACACAGGTATTCATGAAGATTATTAGAGTTTTCTAAGGATTCTTAATTCTGCATTCTAGATGGTGCCCCATGCTCAATGCAAATGGTCTCATGCAGATCTGTAACAGTTTTCAAGAGGATTCTATTATTACTATATCATCATTGTATCCTGTATTGATTATGGCTTTCAAAGGCTGCTACTCTTTTATTTGTAAGCTACTGATAGTTTTGCTTCATCATTAACAATATAATATATACTGTTTGTAGTTACCTTATGTATGTGACTATGCACATTTACATAATTGGAACCTATAATTAAACCTAAAGACATCGGGCACCTGGGTGGCTCAGTCGTTTAAGAGTCAGACTTCGGCTCACTTTGGCTCTGGTCATGATCTCGCAGTCTGTGAGTTCGAGCCCTGCAACAGGCTATGTGCTGACAGCTGGAGCCTGGAGCCTGCTTCGGATTCTCTGTCTCCCTCTCTGCCCCTCCCCAGCTTGCACCCTGTCTCTCTCTCTTTCAAAAATAAATAAACATTACAAAAAAATTTTTAAAAACCTAAAAACATCATTGTTATGGTTCAAATATGAATTATCTATACCACCATTATTAAAACAGACTGTATAGTCTCCTTAAAATCTGCTTGTCAATTCATAAAACAATGTGGATTCATCTTTTTAAAAAATTATTTATTTATTTTTTTGGGGGGTAAGGATCGGGGTGGGAGAGAGAATCCCAAGCAGGCTCCACGCTATCAGCACAGACCCTGATGGGGGCTTGAACCCACAAACCATGAGAACCAGACCTGGGCCAAAATCAAGAATCAGACACTTAACTGACTGAGGCTTCCACGTGCCCCAACAATGTGGATTAATTTTAAATGCATTTTGCTGTGGGGAAAAAAGCCAGACTCATAGGCTACATATTATTTGATTCCATTTATGTGACATTCTGGAAAATTTGTGTCCACATGGGATTTGCATATATATATAGAGAGAGAGAGAGACTAAAAACAGATTAGTGGTTGCCAGGGATTGGGGTGGGATGATAGGCTCACTACTATCAAGGGGACACAAGGGGAATTTTAGGGTGACAGAATTGTTCTCTATGGTTCTGTGTGGCGGATAGGGGTGGGGGGATGGGCTGACTACCAAGGGGACAGACACAAGGGGAATTTTAGGGTGATAGAATTGTTCTCTATGCTTCTGTGTGCTACATACATGATCCTGTGCATTTGTCAAAACCCGCAAAACCATACACTGT